ATTTGAAGAAAGTTTTTATAGAATTAGAGAAAGCTGGCTTAAAAATTAATATAGAAAAATGCAGCTTTTTTAAACTGAACATACAGTTTTTAGGATATATCGTCGAATGAAAAGGTATCCAACCTGACGAAGGAAAGGTTGAAAAAGTCAAAAATTATCTGGCTCCAAAGACTCTCTGACAATTAAGGGCATTCATAGGACTTGCGTCCTTTTATCGTTATTTCATAAAAGGTTTCGTGGCTATAGCGTGGCCCCTACATGATCTACTAAAGAAAAATGTAAAGTATGAGTGGAGTAACGACCAACAAACAGCCTTTGAGAAATTGAAAACCCACCTAACCACAGCACCCATCCTCCAGTACTCTGACTTTTCAAAAACCTTCTTCCTACATACCAACGCCTCAGGTACTGGGTTAGGTGCAGTACTAGTTCAGAAAGATGAGGAAGATAAAGACCGGGTCATCTTATACGCCAGTAGGGTTTATCACGGGCCGAGAAAAATTATTTAGCCACTGAATTGGAGTGTCTTGCAGTGCTATGGGCCGTAGAATATTACCACCACTACTTTGGGTTTAAACTCTTCATAGTAGTAACGGACCATATTGCGTTAAAGTGGCTCCACACGGCCAAGCTAAACGGGAGATGCACCCGATGGATAATTAGGCTGCAACCATATAACTATACTATCCATCACAGAGCTGGTAGGGTCCACAGCGACGCTGATGCACTTTCCCGCTGGCACGAACCTGAGGATGAAATAAAGAAAACTGATAAGATCAACAAGGAAAAAACTAAAGAAAAAGGCATTAGAACCATTGAAGAAAAAGATTGGCTGCTATCGTTGGCTGAGTATGTCGCTAACGACGGTTGAGAAGAAGGTCGAAACTGTCGAGAAGTTGAGTCTAGAGGTTATAATGAAGAGGAAGATGAGTTAAATACCCACGAAGAGTATCAAGAATTACTAGAAGAATTAACCAGGAAGTCAAAGAGTGTATTAACCTGGAATAATTATGACGCCATTGAGGAATCGTGGTGGTCAGACGACGAATATGAGAAAAACCATCCGAACTTAGATGAAACATATGGCATAGAACCGCCAAAGTGGGGAGAACCAGTGTATGGAACTGAATTTAGTGACGACGAGAGTGATTGGGATAATGACAAACCCTATGAAGCAAAAACATGGTTAGGGGCTGGAGAAGCATGGTGGAACTTAGAAGAAAAAGAAAAAGGTTCCGAGCAAGAATGGGAAGATTGGTACGGACCCCAAGAAGAGTGCGAAGTGTTCATAATGGGCATGACGGCTCTGACAAAGAAAACATAAAACTAGAGCCTGAGGACAACCCAACCGAACCTGTTACTAGGGTTTCGAACAGTAATGGAGGAAGAGTACCTGACCTCAGACTCTTAACAAGCCCTTTCCCTAATCCCGGAGAAAATTCGGGAAGAAGATTTGTGATTGAGGAATATTGTAGAGAACTAGAGCACCGAGAATTGATCCTAGATGTGCTGCTAGAATCGGGAGTTGGATTTGCCCCGAGAGAAGATAGTACAATCCAGAGCGAGTCAGAGTTAGAAGATAATAAAGAGAATACAAACCTCGAACCCGATGATGAAAAAGGTGACAAATTTTGGCGAGGAGCATGGAACGATGACGAAGAAACCATAATCACCCAAGAAGGAGAAGATGGATGTCACAAACTAAAAGAAGAGAGTGAGGCCTTTATAGTAAAAATAGAGGATGATAAAGAACAGACAAGAAGTATTAAAATGGAAGATAACCCACCCGAGCCTACCGAGCTAATTCCTAATGAAATGGGCAACCAAGTTAGTACCCGAAATATGATGCCAATAAGCTTTTGGAAAATGGACGTCGACTATCATAGTGCGCTGAACTTTACCTACCTGAACCATCCTACGGAAGGATATTTCATGTATATTTCCACCCAATGAAGTTAGAACACTTCGCTTTGGAAGTGATAAACCGAGGCAAAACCATTTACCTGATGGAGCAATTTGGCTACCGACTTATCGCGCACGACCCAAGGAACCTATTGACCCTAAAAGAATGGATTGTGTCCGGTGCACAACAAGAGTTAGCACGAAGAGAATATTTAATGGCAACCGGAATTGATTTAGGTTCAATGGAACTAATAAATGTCGAAGCCGTCAATACCTACCAGAACGAACAACTGCGTGACCATCGTAGGTTCATTATCCTAGAACCAGCAGTTCCCGGAGCCAATGCAACGCTCATGGAACTATAATAAAAAAAAAAAAAAAAAAAAAAAAAAAAACCTTTGACAGACCTGACGAATATGCGGTTGGTTAGGATGAGTTAGAGCGGGTAGTGGGGCTTTTTCTAAAACTGAAAATAAAATGAATAGAAGAACTAATTAGCAACAAGATTTAAGTGATCACGAACAACACTTACGTCCAGAAGAAGAAGTATCATAAGAACTACAAATCTGACTATAAACTAAAATACGGACCAGGTCGTCAGTGTCCTGGCATTACAAGAAACCATGGAACCATCACTGTATAATCAAGTCTGGCACTATCTACAAAATCAGTATTTGTCACCAAACCTAGATCCGAGTCAGAAAAATAAAATAATTTGAATTAGTAAAAAGTTAAGATTGGAAGACGGCATTCTCTATAAAACCAATCCACATTACCCAGAAAGATTGATTAGGGTGATCCAGAAGCCAGAGGTCGACGCTTTTTTCCTGATGACCCATAATCATCCCACAGAAGGACACTTCAGCACAGAAGCCATGTTTGACAAGATCCAGGGGATTTACTTCTGGCCAAAAATGTTCGAAAATATAAAAAACTACGTCAAAGCCTGTGAAGATTGCCAGAAGAGAGGTAAAAACAAAGCAAAAGGCCCTTTGCACCCATACCGGTGTCAGCACCATTCTACCAGGTAGGGATAGACATCATCGGTCCTTTACCCATCACCCCAAGGTCCAACTGTTACATTGTTATAGCCACGGATTACATGACCAAGTGGCCTGAGGCCAAGGCAATTCCGTTCGCAAATGCTCAAGAAGTCTCCGATTTTATCTTTGATGAAATCAGCTGCCATCACAGGTGTTCTGAGAAATTGCTGTCAGATCGTGGCACGCATTTCCTGAATCACATGGTGGATCGGTTGCTAGAAAAATTTCACATCAAGCACCTACTATCCACACTGTATCACCCACAAACGAACGGTTTAGTGGAACAGTTTAATAAAACTCTATGCGAGGCTATCTCAAAATCAGTGGATACTATTACTGATTGGGATTTGGTAATACCGGCCATCCTGTTCGCTTACAGAACGACAAGACATTCTACTACAAAGATCACACCATTTTTCTAATGCATGGCCGAGAAGCATGTTTACTAATTGAACCAAGTAACACAAAACAATTAGCTAACGAAACGATAGTTCAAAGGACAATAGAGTTAATAGAAGACCTACCCAGGTATCGAAACTCCGCTTTCGTACGAGTTCAACAAGCACAAGCCAAAATGAAGGAGCAACATGACAAACAACTTAAACCAGGTCCTAAACTGGAAATTGGTAATAAGGTTTTGGTATACCGTGCATGGGTGGAGTACAACAGGAGCGTGAAGCTAGAACCAAAATGGAAAGGGCCCTATTATGTCTACGAGGTCCTTCCCAAAAACGTGTTCAAACTGAGAATCATAGAAAGAAATATTATATCAACTCCTATAAATGTCAAGTTATTAAAGAAGTATCACGCCTGGCATCCTCGATATGGATAACAAGCGAAG